TTCAAAAAATGTGGTGATATGTTTATTTTTCATACTGTTTGATGGAAAAGTATAAAAAAAATTAAAGAATTAATATATTCCTTTTAAGGACAGATTTCAATATGCCAATACATTTACATAATTAAGATATTATTATGCCAAAAGAATACCAAATGTAAATAACAACATATACCTCCACATCTTCAAGCACGGATTCTAAGGTTGCTCCGCGGTTATTCTTGACTTCGTAGAGACGAATCGATTGTACTTTCATTGCTCACGCAGCACTGTAGGCGTTTATTTTATTCAATAAAATAAAAATAGGAGCCATTATATTATATGTAGATTATTTTGTATAGAGAATATATATCTGAACCAGTGAGATTCAATGAAATATATGAAATTGGTAGTGGTAATATTTTTCTTGAAATGCTTGATTTGTATAGTGGTAGTGGTAGCATAATTGAAGTTAGGAAATTTGATGAAATTAATTATTATAATATTATATTTGGTAAATTGGTAATGATTTTTGTATAATTGATTTAGCATTTTTGTAATGATGTATTATGTATATAATGTATATAAAGTATAAGTATATGTAAAATTAATTAATTATTATAATATTATATTTGGTAAATTGACAATGATTTTTGTATAATTGATATAACATTTTTGTAATTATGTATATAAAGTATATGCAAAATAAATTAGCAGAATTGAAATTGATGGTAGTGGTAGTATAATTGAAGTTAAGAAATTTGATGAAATTAATTATTATAATATTATATTTGGTAAATTGACATTGACTTTTGTATAATTGATTTACATTTTTGTAATTATGTATTATGTATATAATGTATATAAAGTATATGTAAAATAAATAAATTATTATAAATTTTATTTATAAATTTTTGGGATATATTAGAGATTAGAGATTAGATATTAGTGATAGAGATAGAGATAAAGATGATTGTTTACTTTTAATTTATTAGATTCCTTATCTAATTGTTTTGCTCATTTTGTTCGTAGAAGTTCTAATCAAGCCGCCAACATCTTAGCTAAGATGGAAGTGGCTCGTACTAGTCATCAGAATTGGTTTGTGCATTGTGCGTATAATTTTTCGGAACAAGGAGTAGGACAACAAATACCTGGCGACGTCATTCAAAGAACGAAACCCACAAAATCACAAAGGGGGATGTTTAGAGCCCCAGACCACGCAGCCAAAGTGTAGCAGGAATTATTCAAAAATTAAGCATGAAGAAGAAGTCTAACTTACCTTAATTACTATTCCTATAAAAAAAAAAAAAAAAAAAAAAAAAAAAAGCATACCACCCAAATTAATTAGAACCATATATGGAAAAAAAATTACTAATAAAACCCTCTAACACCAAACAGTGTAGATTAATTTTTTTTTTTAAAGATGAAATCTCATCCACATATCAACAAAAATCAACGATCAAGATTAATCCACAATCCTCATAGGAGAAAGTGTAATCATTTGGTCCTATATATATATATATATATATATATATATATATATATATATATATATATAGAGAGAGAGAGAAAGAGAGAGAGAGAGAGAGAGGTTCTCGTGCGGGTGAACGCCTCAGGGCAGTTGTGCGGTTTAATATGAGCCATTCATCTCGCTTAAATCAACGTCTAAGATTACTAAAATTAAAAAAAAAATGCGGTGGTAATTTTGTAATTTTTGCATCTAAGTCAAAATTAAGGTGAGTGGTTTTGTGATTAATATGCGTGAGTTTTGTATATAAGGTGCGTGAGTCCTGTACGTAAGGTGCGTGAGTTCTGTGCTTAAGGTGCGTGAGTTTGTACTTAATGTGAGTAGTTGTTAAAATTTAAAGTGTAGGCTTTTGTGCTTAAGGTGAGTGAGATTTGTTCTTAATATGCGTGGAGTTTGTGTTTAATGTGCGTGGAGTTTGTGTTTAAGGTGCGTGGGGTTAGTGATTAATGTCAGTAGTTGTTAAAACTTAAAGTGTGAGCTTTTGTGCTTAAGGTGCGTGAGATTTGTTCTTAATATGCGTGGAGTTTGTGCTTAATGTGCGTGAGGTTTGTGCTTAAGGTACATGAGGTTAGTGATTAAGGTCTGTAAGTCAATACTTAAAGTGCGTCAATTTAATGCTTAATGTGCGTGAGTTTGTGCTTAATGTGTGTGAATTTTGTACTTAATGTGCGTGAGTTTGTGCTTAATGTGAGACATCTTAGAATCTTAAGTCTGTGAGTTTTGTGCTCAATGTGCTTTGTTCTGTGTTTAATGTGCGTGGTGATTTGTGTACTTAAGGTGCGTCAAGTTAATGCTTAAGGAGTTAAGGTGCGTCTAACCGCACAACCGTACGGGAAGCATAAATATATATAGAGAAGCGTTCAGGTACGGTTGATGCTTCCCGTACGGTTGTACAATTAGACGCACCTTAAGCAGGCCGGTCCTATCATTTTATAGGTCCGGAGCAAAGTAAAAATAAGGGCCCTTAATATATAAAGTTATATATATATATATATATATATATATATATATATATATATATATATATATATAGCGAGTTATCTTCTTCAGCTGAAATCATGAAGACGGAATTGTAAGGGGCATGTGCAATTGATTTTAACGTCAGGGGTAGGGATGTCAATTTAGCCCGAACCCGATGGGCCAACCCGAAAAAAATCGAAACCGACAGGGCTATGGCCCAAACGGGCTAGCCCGAAAAAACACATTAGCCCGACGAGCCCGAAACCAATTAGCCCGATACCCGATAGGGCTAGCCCGAAATTAAAAGGGCTAGTCCGAGAACCCGAACTATTGAAAACTATTCTTTATTATAGAAGTGATGTGAAACCTAACATATATGGAATAATTATTATACTTTAAAATAAATAAATAAATAAATAAATAAATATATATATATATATATATATATATATATATATATATATATATATATATATATATATATATATATATATATATATATATATATATAATTTAAATTAAAACTTAAATTTTTAATTTTATAAAATTTAAATCAACTTTAATCTAATATTTTGACTAAAAATTGATGACGACGGAATTTTTCGTCCCCGCTAAATTCTCCGCGGGAACGTAGATAGGGACTATTTTTAATTTTTCGTTGAGGACGGAGATGGGGAGTATACTTCCCGCCCCGTCCCATTCCGTCCCGTCCCGCCCCGTTGTCATCCCTACTCTAAATATAGGTACTCACTTTCAGTTTCTAATTTTAGTTCAGATGGTTCAACCCGCCCGATTAACCCGACAACCCGAAGTTTAGAGTTAGGGTCAAACCGAACCCGAGAATAAAATATTAATAAACCGATTAGCCCGAACCGATTAGCTCGACAACCCGACAGGACTAGCCCGAAACCGAGTGGGCTGGCCCGATTGATATCCCTAGTCAGGGATAACACTGGAATAATCCCCAATAAAAAAAAAAATAGAAAGGAAAAGAAAAGGCAAGAAAAATCACCGGCCATAAATCAATTATTCAAAGTCAAGATTCTATGCTCCACAGCATTTTCTTTTTTTAAATTTAATAATCTTTAATAAAAGAAAAATAGAAACAGTAAAACAACGTAGGCACGCTACCTAAAGAAAATGACGTCATCCGCGACATCAGCACAGCTCACCAAGGAGACGTGACAGCAGCATCTGCTGCGTCACCCAAACCGTTTTCACACTTCCACCTACTACCTCATCAACGCAACCCGCCCGGGTCGGGTCTTTTAAAGACTCGGTCAAACACAATATTGTTGCGTTAAACTGGATTTGCATGCATACCATTTTGCGGCATTTGATTGATTTGCATACTTTTTCTTTTAAAATCTTTTTAGGATTCCAAATTAGAAAATGAGTAAATTTTTTTTTTTTTTGATATACCTAGGTTTCTATCATCAGACAAAATGACTAATTTCCGCTCTATTGTATGCACCTCCTCTTTTGAATGAGACAGCTGACCTGAGTAAAAATTATTTTTTAAATGTCATATATATATAAACCAATTAATAGCAAGACATAAATGTATTAGAAATATATATAGTTTTAGAAGGCCAATATTAATAAAAAATAAAGTTAATCTTAAAAAAATATTATTTCCCTATTATAAAAAATAATGTTAGATTTAAAAATAAAAATAAAAAGAGTAAGTGTCTCGTGAGACCGTCTCATGGAATCATGAGTGATTATTCGAGAGATGAACCATGTCAATATAAAAATGTAATACTTATGTTTAAAAATATAATACTCCCTCTGCTCATTTTGTTTGTGATTCGATTAACGAGGCTTGACTAAAGTTATTTTTAATTTAAATTTTTATAATATTAAATTTAGTATTAATATATAAAATTTTTATATTTAGAAATAACATTAATAGATTTTACAGCAATAGTCTCTCAAACTCGGAAAGTAATAACGAAAATATCTAACTCAATACTATTAAACACATAAAAAAAAGAAAGTTAAATTTAAAAATATTTAAAAACTACTAAAAAACAATGAAGAAAGAGTTGGCTTGACAAATGAATAATAAATATGACATATAAAATAAGTCAGAGAGTACTAATAAGAAATAAATTATTTGTTATTTATAAGAGAAAGTGTTAAACTTTTGAAGAAAAATATAATATTTTTAAATCAAAATATAAAAAAAAAAATATTTTTATTCAAAAGTACTACACTTTCATTATAAATAAAAAAATATTTTATTCCTGATTAATATTACAATTACATTTTTATCTTAACCTGATTCGTCTCACGAACAAAGATTCATGAAATCGTCTAAAAAACAAGGATATGTAAATTCGCCTCACACAAGATTTTATCCAAGAAAATAAAAAGAAAATAACATTTAAAATAGTGTTATCGGGTAAAATTATCCAAGAAAATAAAAAGAAAATAACATTTAAAATAGTGTTATCGGGTAAAACATAGGTCGGATAAGTTTTACAGCTTGGAGGAAATCCAGAACCCGAATCGATCACAAATGAGAAACTTGCCCTTCGTCTGTTTTCTTCAACTCAACCTTTTGTATTATTTACGAAACTTCCCAGGGGACAAGTGGGGCCGATCTTTGTCCGTTTTCGACTCATAGTAGCGGCGGCAGCTAAATTTTTTCCTTTATTTCCAAGCTCTAATCTTTGATGGGTTTGGGTTCTGTTTGATCTTGGCAAAGACAGATGTTCTAGCCTGCTTTGAAATTGAAAGCAATTACTGGGTATTAATTTTATTGTTTTGATCAGTTTCACCTTCTCCCAGTTCAAGTCTTGGCCTTTTGGATCTGCTGTCGTGGGTTTCTGTTTCTTGCAGAGTATGTTGTAAATCTTGCTGTGTGTTTATATATGTATTTTGAAAGATTACTGGATAAGGGATTCATAATTCATTCATGTTAGTTTAAAGCTCTGATGGGTTGATTTTGTTTCTTGAAATTTTTTCTATCAATCATGTAAGGCCAGAAATTCTGAAGTAGAATTAGGTGTTGATTGAGCATATATTGAGGATGGCATTGATACTGTAAAGAATAGGAATAGGAATAGGAAAAGGAAAAGGAAAAGGAAATTGAATTTACTGATATAGGATTGGAGGAGATATGGGTAGTTCTTTTGAACCATCATCATCCATAAGTTTCACTTCATCATCACAGACATCGAATGGGTCGATTGGGCAGATTGTGCCATCTTCGGGTGGATCTAGTCTCGAGATTTTCAGTTTAAGTAAGCTCAGCAATAGTTTGGAACAACTCTTGTCTGATACAACTTCAGATTTTAGTGATGCTGATATTGTTGTAGAGGGGACTACGGTTGGTGTCCACCGGTGTATATTAGCCGCTAGGAGTAACTTTTTTCATGTGCTGTTTAGAAAAGAAAAGGAGGGTGTTGGAAAGGAAGGTAAACCGAGGTATTGTATGGAAGATTTGCTGCCCTATGGTGAAGTTGGATATGAGGCTTTCCTCACTTTCTTGAGCTATATGTACACGGGAAAACTGAAGCCTTCTCCACCAGAGGTTTCTACTTGTGTTGACACCATATGCACACATGATTCTTGTAGACCAGCTATTAACTTTGGTGTGGAAATGATGTTTGCATCTTCGGTATTTCAGGTGCCAGAGTTAGTCTCACTTTTTCAGGTAGACCAAAGTCTTTTACCATAGTATGTGCAATCTTATATTGTTCATAATTACTGTATTTTGAATAAGAAGAATCAACTTCCTGTCTGTATGGAGTACGTGTCTCTTTGATCATCTATCAAGCTGAGTACTACTGTGCAAATCATTCTAGAAATCTTTGCTTAAATAACATGGTAGATTTGTTAAACTTTTGTTAAAAATGAATTGTTGTATGTGCTATAAACTTACTTTTCTAAGCATTGAAATGATCTTTGATAATTATAATTGCAATTGAAGCATGTGCTCCATCTCAACACGTGGACCATAGTCGCTTATCGGGTGACGTAGAGATTCGAACCCATGACCTTTGGTTTGGCTCTGATACCTAATTGAAGCATGTGTTCCATCTCAACTAAAAGCTTAAGCTGATAGTTGGGTTGCACATTAATGGTTATATGCTCAACAATTGCATAGGAACGAAAATGATCTGAATAATTTATTTTACATATAATGTTGAATTGCAGAGGCGCCTTCTTAATTTTGTTGGAAAAGCTGTAGTGGAAGATGTGATCCCTATACTAGTTGTTGCCTTCCATTGCCAATCGAATCAGCTTCTCAATGAATGCATTGATAGAGTGGCTCGATCAGATCTTGAAAGCATATATATTGAGAAAGAGGTCCCCTATGAGGTTGCTGAGCGTATTAAATTGCAGCGGGTGAAGTCTCAGGCAGATGAGAATAAAGCCATGCCACTAGATCCACTGCGTGAGAAAAGAATAAGGAGAATATACAAGGCATTAGACTCGGATGATATTGAACTTGTCAATCTTCTCCTGACTGAGTCCGATGTAACACTAGATGAAGCCTATGCTCTTCATTATGCTATCACACATTGTGATCCCAAGATTGTGACCGAGGTGCTGAGTCTGGGTTTAGCTGATGTCAACCTTCGGAATCCTCGGGGTTACACTGTGCTTCATATTGCCGCAATGCGCAAGGAGCCATCAATCATAGTGTCCCTTCTGACTAAGGGGGCTTGTGTATTGGAGTCAACATGGGATGGACAAAGTGCAGTGAGAATCTGCAGGCGGTTAACTAGGCCGAAAGATTATCATGCAAAAACAGAACAAGGCCAGGAAGCGAACAAAGACAGGATATGTATTGATGTCTTAGAGAGGGAGATGCTCAGGAAACCAATGGCTGCTGATGGGTTATCCTCTTCGCCGATGATGGCTGATGATCTGCACATGAAACTCCTTTACCTGGAAAATAGAGGTATATTTCTGGATATTCTAGTCTTCGATTCTCCACATTGTAGCAAGGCATACTTCTGGAGACTGCATTCTTTGTCAATCATAGTAAAACATCACTTATTGCTGACAACAATGTGTGTCTAGATAATGTTTATGCATGGGTAATGCCTAAAATACTATTTTGGATGGAGTTAATACCTCCAATGGTCCTCTGAGTATTAGCGATTTACCAGCTGTGGTCATCCGAGTTTTAAATGACCTCCAATGGTCTCCCATGTTTTAAAAAATAACCATCCGTGGTCCTTTTAGGACGCCTCGTGGTCATTTTAAACTCGAGTTTTTTTTAAGAATTAGGACCACGGGAGGTTATTTTTTAAAACATGGAGGACCATTGGAGGTCATTTAAAACTTGGATGACCACAACTGGTAAATCGCTAATACTCGGAGGACCATTGGAGGTATTAACTCATTTTGGATGAATGGGGAGTGGTTACGACCTGGTGGGTCTTTCTCAATAGGCCGATCCATCTGACCTTTGGGAACGATAGATGAACCTGGTGCAGCATCCATATGTTTCAATACTTCAAAATCTGACTGAAATATATCCATAACCTTAAAGCTATGAAAATGATTTAAGCATTAAAACTGATTTTTTTTTTTTTTTTGTATACAATCTCGTATTGGAACTGTTTTACCATTTGCATGCCTCCAATACTTCTGGCAGCCTATTTCTCAGGACGGGTAATTTCTACTTTGGATGTGTCCTAACTTGGAAATGCTGATATACTGCAAATTATATCTGTTTTCCCAGCATGAGACTTGTTAACTATTATCATGAATTGTGTGCTCCTTAGTATTCTTTCGTTGAAACTGTTTTGATTTTGGTAATGAATGGGGTTTGTGATGATAGTTTTACCTGATGTACATTCATATTACCTATTACAGTGGCATTTGCACGACTACTATTCCCCCTTGAAGCTAAACTAGCCATGGAAATTGCAAATGCTGAGATGACAGCTGAGTTTGCTGGTTTCTTGGCATCTAAAGGTTCAAATGGGAATTTGAGGGAGGTGGATTTGAACGAGACACCAATAATGCAGAATAATAGACTTCTGTCAAGGTTAGAAGCCCTCTCAAAGACAGGTATCTTCTCCCTCTCACTCCATTAATTTCATTTTGACCGACTTATGTTCAGGTTTGCCCGCCTTTCCATTAGCCTAACAACTTCATGTGTGTACAGTGACATGAAATTAAAGAGGTGTATCAATCAGAATTATTCCCCTGCTTATTTAAATACAACAGAAAGAAAGAAAGCAAAAAAAAAAAAAAAAAAAACGGAGAAATGAGCCATAGTAAGAGGAATTAATTAACAGCCCAAGCAAGCAATTACTTATGTGTCACTGATGTGACATTGAAGTCCACTGAATACAATGTACATTATTTTTGTACTGAATGTACATTATTTTACAGTAGACAAAATATGGTCCACACAATAATGATTGGCGATCAGACGTAATTGAAAATACTATTTATCTCTGATTGAGAAAAAGTTGGATATATTGCATCATTGACAATTTCACTAGAGAATAAACTCCATTGAACTTTCAAATGTGGCATATAAAGGTAATATGCAAATAAAATAAAAAATGAGAGAAAAATACTATTATATAGAAGCAAGGATGAAAGAGAACGTTGAATTTGCACATGGGTTTATAGTGTGAGTTTGAATTCATTTTTTCGAACCTTGAATTCCAAAAGGTGTTTATAATTTGGCAGTAGTTTCATCTTTCAAAAATGTTCTAATTTTCAATCTCATGCGTATTGTTATCGAACTTAAATTTCTTTTACCTAGTAAAAGACCTCTTGAATTTCTGTTTCTGGAATTATTATTATTAAATTGCCATTTTTATGAGGTTGAAGTGGAGCTGGGCCGACGTTATTTTCCCAATTGCTCTCTAGTTCTGGATAAGTTCATGGAGGATGACTTGCCTGATCTATTCTACCTAGAGAAGGGCACTTCAGAGGAGCAAAAAATTAAGAGGAAGCGATTTAAAGAGCTCAAAGATGATGTCCAAAGGGCATTCAACAAGGACAAGGCTGAAAATCGTTGCTCTGGTTTGTCTTCATCATCGTCTTGCAATTCTCTGAAAGACCATATGAGTTATAAATTTAGGAAAATGTGAAAGTATATAGTGGATCCACTCTCACAAGTACACAGTTTTGAATGGAGAATATGTTGTCCTCAAAACTCTCATGTAAAAGGAAAATATTAAGAAGAGCAATTACTGTTGCTTACCCATATTTTTATACTTAATGATGCTTACTAGACTACTTTCAGATCTTTCTTTTTTTTTTTTTTTTTTTTTGGGTGGATAGACTACTTTCAGATCTATAGATTAGAGTGAACTAAAGCTCTTACACAATAACTTAATGTTGTGCAGATTTTCCCATTTCCTTCCTGTAATTCTACCATAGCAATAGTTTTGCTTGACACATTTGTTGTCATTTCTGGTATACTCAAATTAAGCATGGATGACAAGACCCCTTGTAACTTGATGTGTAGAAACATATGGAAAGTCATTATATTGTGTAGAAGCAAAGTTTGTCAATTGTCATTTTTGGGTGTAATCCAGAGTTCTACTGACGGATACAGTGATTAATTCTCTTGTTGGATTGTAGGCACTTCTAAGGGTGAAATGATTGGGTTGGAGATTAAGGTTCTTCTACTCTTCCGGTTCATATAGGCAAATGACAATTTAAAATCATTAGCCACCACAAATTACAAACACAAGTTAAATAAATGTATTATAGGAATTACAATTGTGCTAAGAAAGGAAAAAGACTTAAATTGTTATTTTTTTCATATCAAGGTAGGATGGGAGGTAAATTGCTACTTGAGTTTTGGAATAAAATTCAAAACTCACGAATAACATACCAACCCAATGTTTTTTGGTTCAGACAAATGGTGGAAGCATCATTGTAGGCAACAAGGCAACAACTAAAGTTAGTAAAGTAGTAATTAGTAAAAATTAAATAGTTAATATTTGAGAACTAAGAACTAATAACTAAATCAAAGGGAGAATGATATACCACATCAGATGACCATAAGATTCACTCAAGTTTCAATGAATCAAGGCAAAAGGCTTAAAGACCTACATAAACTGATATTGATACTTGTTTTTTTTACTAAAGACAGTCAAGGGCCTCATAGAAAGGAATCAAGAGCAGTAACAATCAATTGTAACCAAGCTATTGTCCCAATTGTCACTTGTCAGTTTGCCCCACAAATCACAATTCAATAATTCACAAAATGCATCAACATATTCACAAAATTGGAATGAAAGTTGAAATAAATAAATATTAAAGGAATGACTGGAAGGGAAGAACTAGGTCCAACACACCTAATTCTAATACACACAGCGACCAACTCTGCAAATAAAAAGTATTTAATTTAAAAATAGAAAGTAAAAATTATTAAAAAGTAATAACAGAAATTTAAAATTGAATTGTGAATACCTTTTTCAAGATTTTCAACCTCATCAAGATTTTCCTCAATTTGTATTGGTTGATGTAAAACCCCCGAATTCCAATCATAGAGCGTAGATTAATTATAAGTTACGCAGCAGAATAAACCAAAGGGTTCTATTAAATTAACATAAAAGTCTAGAATCCATAACCATCATACAGGAATGTTACCGCCACAACAACCCACCCCCAGATAACTATATCGGCTAAAATCCAGGAAACAACATTCACAAACTAGAAATAAACAATGGTTCTAAGACCCAGATGTCTACGCATCATACAACGCACGGGAGCAACAAAAGAAATACGACAGATTCATAGCCAAGTACTACAGAATTTACAACCATAAGTCTACCAGTATCAAACTAACAAGTCTAACAAGTCACAATAACAACATGAGTCAACTAAAAGGACTACTCTAACAAGATGGAACTACCGAAGGATAAGTTCCCTAAATAGGCGCTTATCATGCATAAGTCAAACCTAAAAAGGGGTTAAATTTGAAAACACAAGAAATAAACAGTTAGCATAAAATGTTAAGTAAGAATCACTCAGCCCCGTAAAATAAGTACATTTGTAGTTTAGAAAAGAGATATACTTTGAAAAATAGATTTTGGTATTCGTAAAATCATAAGTTTTGAAAAGATTAAACAGGCCCGGCCCTGGGCAAGTGCAAGCTGGGCCCTTGCCCAGGGCCCACATATGAAAGGGGCCCACTACCCTATCCCAGGTAAATTATGCCCTGGAAACGTGTTCACCATGAATGGTGAACACGGGTCCAAACAGCGCCGTTTTTACGTAAAAAAAAAAAATAAAATAAAATAAAATAAAATAAATCGCGAATGTGGTGTTAACGGCGCGCGTTTGGTCAGATTATGAATTTTCTGTTATGAGATTATGAATGTACTGTAAATTCATAATCTCATAACAGAAAATTCATAATCGCATAAAAGAAAAACATTTATTAAATTATGAATTTTCTGTTATGAGATTATTAATTTACTGTAAATTCATAATCTCATAACAGAAAATTCATAATCTCATAACAGAAAATTCATAATTTCATAACAGAAAATTCATAATTTATGAATGTTGAAGAAGCTTGCGCTAGAGAGGAGCAGCCATGGTTTCGGACGGGAATGTGTAGGCATGGTTCCAAAGTGAATGTGCAGACATGGATTCATAATTTATGAATGTCCGAAATCATTGCTCACCTCAAATTAAAGTGAAACCGCGAAATGTGAAAATGAAGAAGAAAAGTCACGCGATTAAAAAAAAAAAAAAAAAAAAAAGATAACGGTGCACTAACACCGCTGAGATCGTGTTCACCATGGATGGTGAACACGGTTCCATGACATAACGATTGCCTATCCCATTATCTCTTATATATATATATATATATATTAATATACTATAAAATTTTATATAATTATTTAATATACATTTATGTTATAGAACTCTAGGTTGGTTATCTTGGTATGACTTGTAGTTTGTGGTTTGTATACTTGTATGGAAAAGGGGTTGAATCCTTTCACATGAATTTTTCCTCTCTACTCTTATTAATTTTTAAGATATTATTATTATTAAAATCATAACATGAAATTTATTTCTTTTTCTAATTTGTATTTTTTAAAATTTAATTTGTAATTTTGTGATTTTTTTTACCTTTTTATAATTATAATGAGATTTATAATATAGATTGATTTGTGATTCATATCAAATTTTGAATCTATCTTTATTCGAGTAATTTACTACTTATATTTAGAATATGTGCTATTTTGTGAACTTTATAATGAGTTATGTATATGTAATATATTTTGTGATTTAGTTATGAAAAATATTTTAAAAGATAATTTAGTTTTTTTTTTTATGAATTATCTAGTTAATGTATTTTGGAAGTTCTATTGTGTGTCATCATCGTATTCAAATTAATCTAGAAAAGTTGAAATTGATCTAATTAAAAAAATATTTATAAATATGATATCAATATAGAAGATGTATGATTTATTATGTGTTTTTTATTCGAACTATTTTATCCTATTATTTATGTTTCAATTCATATTTTATTATGAATATCTTCTTCCATTTATTATGAATATCTTTTATCGCGTTTGAGTGTTTTGATTTATTGCTTCCAATAATTAAGATTTTATGCTATGTTCTTATTTGTAAGTTTTGTTTTATAAATTTTTATTAACAATTACTTTATTATTTATATAATAATAATGTGATTGCATGTTTATAAGCTCATTTGGTTTTAAATTATTTATTCATTTTTATAAACTATACTATAATTCTTTATTGATGAAAGCACTGATGTGGTGATGCGGTTATTGATTATTTCGGATTTAGGAATGCATCTATAATTGTTTTCATGTGTATGTAAAATTGTTGAAAACTTGTGAATCTTATTTCAAGTTATTTGACAATTATATTTTCTCTTATTTAATTTAAATTTTACTTATAAAATATATATTACTTTAATATACGGCCCATTTTTGTTGATATGCCCTGGGCCTCCAAAATGTTAAGACCTGCCCTGAGATTAACTAAAGATTTTAGAAAACATTTTCAAGGAATTTTATAATAATATATCTTTAGACAACACTACATCAAAATGACAAGGACTTAGCATGTAACGCACGCCAAAACCAAAAGAGTTTCCAAGACAAATGTTTAAGTTCAAATCCAAAACATTGCATGCATAACACAAGACATTCAAGGCAAAATATTATGTAGCACACTAGTCATTTCAAAACAATGTTACATATGGAGGGATTTACAAAGCCAAGTAGTATTGCTCATTCACTCCAGAGCCTCACATGTGATAACAGCGTGAATAGGTTTTCGAACCCATTCACATCAGCGTCACGCGCGTGACTACGGCATGAATAGGTTCCCGAGCCCATTCACTCCGTAGTCACGCTAATGACGCCTCATTCACGCATCAGCGAAGGGAGGTGGAATTTAGCACTTTAAAAGGCTGAAAAATCTGAAATTAGGGGCCTCAATTCATTCTTCTTCCATCCTGTAATGTTTTAGAGAGAAAAAATAGTTAGATTAGCTAGGGTTTTAGATTTGCTAAGAAATTCTTGAAGGATTCCACATCAAAGTGTAAAAGAAGAGATGCAATTGAAGGTTCCTTGGTGGTAACAATCTCTACTTCTAATTCAATTTATATCTTGTTATCTTGTATTGATTAATTTTACTATCTTAAATCTTTCTTGCATTTCCATAATCAATGATGTGTGGCTAATAATTCCTTGAAGTTGGAAGTGTACTTTGTGATTATGCATTAGGATCTTTAATTACATAGAGATTTGGTGTGTAGTTTGTGAGTCATGCTCTTGTTGTGGACAACACCTTAGTTGCTCTTCATTCCTTGATGGACACAATGAGTGAGGGTGTGTGAGAGAGGGGAGTTAACGAGAGATCATAAATTCTCGGAGTCTTTGTTGTCCACATTCCACACCCTTCGATCCGAGAGGGCAAGGTTCGGGAAGGGACGTAGGCAACATGCTCGATAAAATGCCTAAGTCAATTTTATTGGCTTAAGAGGCTAGGCACATCGCCTAGTGCTTGCAATAGGACCCCCAAAAGCCACCGTAAACTACACTCTCCAAACCCCACATCGTAAACTAATGCATAGGAGCAAAGTACACCTTCCGACTTCTCTTTCCCACTTGCCTATTCTTTGTAGCATTGTACGTCGTATTTGTTCTCAATTTGCTCTCATGTATGTGACCGTGTTAGTGGCCCTTGTTATGATTTTTCTTGGATAACTCGGCACCTTGCCTCTCTAAGTTGTCATCCATGAGAGAACGACACTCGGGAGTGACCACTCCTGTTTTACCCCATATTATTTCCTGAACATCTCACATCCCCAACTCACCCTAAAATACTCCTTCAAAATGGCGCCGTTGCCGTGGATGGCAAACGTTGTTGAGTAAAGTGCCTTAAAAGTTGTCTTAAGAATAGTCTAGGCAAGGGACTTAGGCTTACTCTAACCTTGATTGAGTTCCTATTGCTTATACATACTTGTTTTGTTGTTGGTAATATAGAATTTACTACAAATTGTTGCATACCATATCCATTGTAAGCAAGCTCATCTAGTTGATAGTTGTTTGTTGATACTAACAATTGGTGAAGAATTGTTCATTGAAATGTATTCCCAAAATACACCACACCATGAGAGAGAGGGACCTTATGGGTACCCACCCCACATAGGAGAATTTTGGAGACTCCCTCCAACTCACTCTTATGAACCACATCTTCATTACCCCCATCCCCCCTTTTCACACCCCTATCCCATACCCCCATACAACTATCCACCACCACCACCCTATCCGCTTGAAAGAGTACATGCTACCTATTCCTACACACCCCAACATGCATACCTACCTGAGGGCCAATTTCACCTAGCACCTTGGCGGCACGAGGACCACGCAATTGCCCACCCGAGCAATTATGCTTGTTGGAATGAATCATGTTTGCCTTGAAAGGAAGGTGTAAGAGTTCATACGGGAAGCTAGAGAAGATATGGCTAATCTCAAAGCCTCGGTAAAGAAAGAAATGGAGGTCCTGCTTATTCTAGGGAGGTCATTCTTGGCCGCCGATAGAGCCTTGATTGACGTAGGAAGCGGGAAACTAGTGATTCAAGTTGGAGACGAATCCACTAGCTTCGATGCCACCAAATTAACAAAGTACCCATTGGAGGGTGACGACGCATGCTTTTATGTTGATAGCTTGTATAGTCACGTGGATTATTTGCTTGATTTCCCTTGTGATAATCATGTGGGTGAAAACTTCGAATGTCCGATAGGCAAAAAGGATGTAGATGTAGAAGATGATGAACATGTCCTAAATGAAATGCATATTAACATGAACCTTGTGGATCGGTGCTTTAAAATTTGTGATGAATTGCATAATGATATATCTTGTGATGATATAACACTGCTTGGTGAAGACAAGGAGGATTTGGTTGATATTGATCGGGCTGTCTTTGATGAAAGTGATGGGCAAAGGGAAGATAGGATCGGAAAGGAAAATGAAAGTACAAAGGGAGCAGAAAACGAAAAATGGGAGAACAAGGAAAGTGAACTAAAGTTGTTGCATAGTCATCTTGAATATGCTTACTTAGGAGAAGTCAGAACAAAACCAGTAGTGATTGCTTTTGACTTGAACAAGGAACAAAAGGAAGAATTGGTAAGGGTCTTGAAAGAGAATAACGAAGCAATCGGAGGGAAATTAACGGATTTGAAAGGGATTGGCCAGCCATATGCACGCACAAGATACTGATGGAAGATAGTGCGAAGCCCGTAGCACAACCTCAGAGGAGGTTGAACCTGAATACCTGCGAAGTTGTAAAAAATGAGGTTATCAAACCTCTAGACTAGGTATGATATACCCAATCTCATATAGTGCATGAGTGAGACCAACACATGTGGTGTCCAAAAAGAGAGGAATCACCGTGATTGAAAACGATAAGAAAGAGCTAATCCCGACAAGGAAAGTCACTGGCTGGAGAGTTTGCATCGACTATCGGAAATTGAATGACGCAACCCGAAAAGACCATTTTCTGCTACCATTCATAAACCAAATGATTGAGAGGGTAAGTGGCTATGCCTATTTCTATTTCTTAGACGGGATAAGCGGGTATTTCCAGATCCTAGTAGCACTAGAAGACAAAGAGAAAACTACATTCACATGTCCCTTCGAGACATTTGCTTTCAGGAGGATGTCGTTCGGGCTATGCAATGCTCCAGCAACATTTATGAGATGTATGATAGCAATCTTCGAGGATTTTATAGGATACTTCATGGACGTTTTCGTGGACGACTTCACGATATTTGGAAATACCTTTGAAGAGTGTTTGAGAAATTTAGAGAAAGTCCTAAAGAGGTGCCCAGAAGTGAACCTCTCCCTATCTTGGGAGAAGTGTTATTACATGGTGCATGAAGGTATTGTCCTGGGACACAAGATCTCGGGGAAAGGAATCGAGGTAGACCGAACAAAAACGATTGTGATTGAGAGCCTACCACCTCTGCACTCAGTAACCAAACTTCGGAGCTTCTTAGGGCACATTGGTTTTTACAGACGCTTTATAAAGGACTTTTTGAAAATAACAAGTCCCCTCACAAAGTTGCTTGAAAAAGATGCAAAATTTGAGATGACTATTGAATGTTTGGATGCCTTTGAGGACCTGAAAAAGATATTAATCAGTGCAGCTATCTTGGTAGACCAGACTAGAACAAACCCTTCGAACTTATGTGCAACGCAAGCAATTTTGCAGTAGGTGCAGTGATAGGACGGGGAAAGGATAAAGCATTCCAGCCTATAGCATATGCAAGTCGAACGCTTAACAAAGCACAACAAGCATACACTACCACAACGAAAGAACTACTGGCTATCGTGTTCGCGCTGGATAAGTTTCGTTCTTACCTGTTAATGTCTAAGATCACGATACACACGGAAATGGAAAACTAGAGAGATGGATAAGGAATATTGGAAAACTGGAGATGGAAAAACATAGAAATGAAGTAAACGACCTGTTACTACTGCTCTGCTTCTACGTTCTCAGGCAAAAGAGAAATGAGACGGGATGGATGGGGGAAAATGAAGATGAATACTGTAGCATTTTATATGAGCACCAAAACCCTAGGTCGACATTGATTTCAAAAATGCAAGAGTATTCTAGTATCGTACATTGGGTTGGATACTTGGGCTGAAAGTTTGGGCTAGAGATTGGGTTAAAGGGGATTTTTTTTTATTAAAAACAAATAAAATAAAATAAATCAGATTTTGTTGTTGTCAAATAGGGTAGTTTGAATTGGGCTCAAGTTTGGGCTCATAATAGATTTTTGGGTTAAAATTTTGAATAGGATTTATATTATATAGATAGAGCTTATAAAAACACAAGTAACCTTATAAATATTTTTACTTTACATTTGTTTTAAAATTTATGCTGAGACATCACCCGTAATAAAATAAAAATAATTTTGTTTCAAAACCTTTGTAGAAAAATAATTTTATTTTAAAATTTTGGGTATCACAACCTATCCTCTTTAAAATAAGCTTCGTCCCCGAAGCTAGGGTTGGGTAAGAAAGAGCGGTTTAAACGGAAACTAGAATGACGGTTCCAAAAGAGTAAGGATAATAAGGAAATTGAATTTTACGAAGGTAGAACAAAGGTCAAGGAATTCGGTTCAAACGAGTGAAACGAAAACTCGAGGTGAATTTGATGTAACATGCAAGCAACCAAGCAATCAAGCAAACAATAAATTACATTCCCCCTAATGGAATAGGCTAAACTTAGAAAGCTAAAGTTAATACTAGGAACAAGATTCTATGATGCACCTCCTTGATAACCAAAGCTCGAACCTTGCTCCTGATGGGTCATCTCTGGAGGAACCTCAATTCCAAATTTGGATTCAACACTTGTCATCCTTCAATGAAATGTAGGGAAACCTTGATCCATTCTTGTACCATCTCTGGAGAATCCTAACTCCACACTTTTCTGTAGTTCATCCATCATTTATAACACGGGTCCTCAGTCTTGACCTTTCTTTGTTCTTGTCTCTTTCAACCTTGATTGTCATTTCCAGGAGCATTTGCTAGAATCCCACATCTCATAACCTTCCTCATTCTTATCGTCCTTACCACTTTCCTTGATCTCAACAGCCAAGCTCCTAAATTTTCTTGTACGGAATCTGATGGTAATCCTCAAGCACTTTCCTCTCATCCGCTGGCAACACTCTAATCTCTATAAAGGTAAGGTACTCACGATTGTCCATCTGATATAAATCATAATATCTAATGTTTGGGGCATTAAATGCCGCCCTTGCAAACCGTTTACCATTCTCACCCATCACTGGTATATTCATATGAGTAAAAATCCAATCTTCATAACACCATCATATTCACTTCATCATCATAAATAATAAACTTCAACAACAACACTATATTTCATCATCATCAATACCTCATCATTACTTAACCATCCAATAATCACTATTAGCCACAATCGAACCCCCAATCAGCGTACTCAACAATTGTAAAATCAAAGAATTTCCTGGCAGATTGGAGAGAGGCAACAAATCCAAGCATTCAGAGAAATCAGTGTAAGCAACGAACAAATCAAATGACAACCCCCTCAACCAGGGGTTTGGCATGGTTAATGACAACCCCCTCAACCAGGGGTTTGGCATGGTTATGAGAGATGAGCGTAGCACATTCATTGCATTCAGAGGAGTTACTTTTCTTCAACATGCAGAAGCAAAGTACATATTCTAATGTTCACTATTCACATTTGAAATATATAATTTCTTCACTGAAGTGTGGTATATTAACTTAGATGAATTGATGTGCAGTGACTTATCAATTTACAACATACTAAAAATAATGAGCCTGGATAAAATTAGGCAGTCAAACAATATACCAAAAAATGAATGGGTAAAATCACTATTAGCTTGCATGATATACTTTTTTCAAACTCTCCCACATTGCTGGACCTTCTGGATGTACATCAACAAAATATTTTATAAAGCGCGCTTCTGAACATGCAAGGAGAGTGCTTAGCGACAACATGGGCTTTGCCACGCCCTTTTCCTTAAGCCATGCATACATTGAAAACCTAAGATTTATTCTGTCGATATCATAGCATAGGTAGGACGGAAATGACAAAATTGATTCCACGGGATACCCCAAATGCTTTTCCAAACTACCCAGTTTCTTCTCGAGCACATCTTTGGTCTGGTTCAGTAGTGTAGGAGCCTTTTTAACCATGCTTACTACAACGTTGCAATCCAAACCCGCTTCTACTAGGCAATCGAACCTCTCCTGTAACTGGTCTCCTCGGCCACGAAACATTTTTAAAGCTTTTGTCATCTCATCTGAGTTTTCTACGTAACCTAACTTCAATAAGAATGCCGTTTTTTCTGAAGTGTTAGCAGGATTCCGGAAAGCGGTCTGCTCAATGCTCTTAATTTCCGACTTGGAAGCTAGCCTGAACAAGTTCAGAGGGTCTTCCGTTATAGTTTGACATAAATGACGGCTATCACCCTTGAAACACTTCAAGACAGTCTTGGGTCGTTTCAGAGAATTTGAACCCAATAATTGTATATGGCTAGATACAATTTTCGCGATGTCCTTGGTCTCCATTCCAATCTCGAATAGAAAGTTCATTGCCTTCCAAAGCCTTTTAGTGCATTTCAAAGATAGGATCTCGGGATATTCCAAAAGCAATGAATGAATTTCATCCATGTCAAGACCTAACTTCAATAACTGAGCTACCAACACGTAAGTGCACTTCCCGGAGCCTTCAAACAGCAATGCCGGATTCGCCTTAAACAGAGTGCCCATCTGTGGCTCATTATATCCAACTTCACTGAGAAAGAATGTCGTACCGAGTATTCTACTCCAATTGTACGAGTGTTCACTGGACAAATAACTTCCAATCCAATCATTCCTAAAACCCATTTTTTTAAATTTCTCAATCACCTCAAAAAGCTCATTATTTACATCCCCAACCAAAACAGTAGGTGAGCAGCTCACCAGCTTTATTACCGTGGATCGACTTAAACCCAAATTTTCACAAGCCATCAATTGCTTATTCAACACCCCGTCACCATACTGAAAAACCTCAATCGCTTCCTTATAAATCTTCCCGATATTACTGCGAGGAATCCCATAACTAGAAAGAACATGGAAGTTATCAAACAACAAATGATTATCAGTCAAGAACATCAAGTTCCGCGGAAGTAGCAACGCAATCTCATCCGGGCTCAAACCCAGACTTTCGAAAAACGGCTCAAATTCATTAATGGGATGGTACCTAAGGAACCTCGATAAGGCCCTCGACACATCCTCCTCATTTTCAACCTTCAATAGCAATTTCTGAAGGAAACAAGGTGAGCTCTTGCTAATATGCTCAGCATCAACAAAATCGAATCCTCTAGTATAATGCAAATATTCAAAGAGTGCAGCCTGCGCATCATTTCGAGCCACTCGGGAGATTTTGGATTCAGTTGCGGTGGCTTTGGAGTACTGGCTAAGTCCAGAACTTCGAAAACTTCGATTTCTCATCAATGTAAACGCCTGTAAACTCTGTGAAACAGAAGAAGAAGAGCCTCCGCTCTGACAAACAGAAATATTAGAGGAAAACAACGCGTGGTTGAGCTGGGAAATCATTTTCCGCGACACCCTTTTGTGGAATTTATGAATCATCATCGCAAACCCAACAATTAACAAAGAATGGCTTTTTAGCTCAAAATGTTTCTTGGGTGATGGGTCCTTAGCTTTGTCTCACAGTATGTACGATCAAGAAAATCTTTAGAGTGATTGAAGAAAGCTCTATATAGCAGCCAGCACAAATTGAAGAAAACAAAGCGGGGAATTGAGAAATTAACAAAATTTTGAGACTTGGGAGGGAGGTTCAAAATTTGTATACTCCGTACCTCTGAATTAAATACTTTTCTGAGAAACCTTTGAGCAGATTTGGCCTCTGGCTTCAGAAAGTAATGGAATTTCATCCGAATGAAACTTTCCGACGTTTGGATACACATAAAACCCAAGAAGTAGGGTTTAAGGTTTCCTCCCCATTTTCTTTCTCCTATTGGCTATTGCCGTCTTCTTCAGTTTTTTTTGTTTTGTTTTGTTTTTGTTTTTGTTTTTTTTATTTTATTTTACTTTTAAAAGGGAAATTCTATTTGCACTACCCATTTTGCTATTTACACCCCCTATTTAATAGGTGTAATAGCTTTATAGGTGGTGCAAATAAAAAGGTGCTATTTGCACCACCTCATTAAATGTAGTCAAACATTAATCTTTATTTTTTTATTTAATAATCAATCTCTTTATTATTATTATTATTATTATTATTATGTTTTAATGCCTAATTATTTTGTACAATATTTTTTTAAGTTTTTATTTTCAATACATATATTTTTTTTTTAAGTTTCTATTTTCAATACATCTTTTTTTGTTCAATACATGTTTTTTAAGTTTATATTTTCAATACTTATTTTTGTTTATGTTTTAATTTTAAATAAAGAGAAATAATAATTAATTTTGTTATTCTAATATTTTTTTATAACTCAAATTTGTTATATACATTATTTTAAATTGATTTAACTATAAATTGAAATATAAAATGATTACTAGTGATATTTGAAATGAATAAATATAAATTGATTTTCTACCTATCTTTTTATACTGTAAATACTGTAACAATTTTATAAAGATATATGTGGGTTAGAGTTCTAATAATTTTAATGTAGTTAAAATTCTATAAAGATATGAGGGTTAGAGTTCTATTGAGACTTTGAAATATAAATTGATTTTCTACTTATCTTTTTATACGGTAAATACTGTAACAATTTTATAAAGATATGTGGGTTAGAGTTCTAACAATTTTGATGTAGTTAAAATTCTAATCATAAAATAAGTGGAGGTCAAGGTTTCTAATCATAAAATAAGTCTGCATGCGTTCCTAGACACTTTCTATTTTGAATTTTGTATTTATGATTGTCCTTCAAGTCTCTGTAGAATAGTTTCCTACAATTGTGTATTCTTTGTAGTATATATTGCTCTATGTACTCAATATTACTCAATAAATTGATTTTCTACTAATCTTTTTATACTGTAAATACAATAAATTGATTAATTTACAACTATATTCCCAACAAATTAAATTAATTCAGTATATAGATAGACTCACCGGCGGTCACCCAATAAATAAATCTCAAATTCAATACTCTTTATACTATAATTTCCTCTCTTGAAATGGAACAAAGAGTTTGTTATTTAGTCAATTGAGAAATTATATCTAATTTAAATGAGTCCTAATTACCTATACTAGCAAGCAAGAACAAAGTGGCTTAAAATACAAATAGCAACACCCATAGAAATAAATAACAATTCAATTCTACCTATCTTATTATACGTAAATACAATAAATTGCTTAATCTACAACTATATTCACAACAAATTAAATTAATTTACAACTATATTCACTAAATTGATTAATACTATAATTTTCTCTCTTGACATGGAACAAAGAGATTGTTATTTAGTCAATTGAGAAATTATATCTAATTTAAATGAGTCCTAATTACCTAGCAAGCAAGAACAAACTGGCTTAAAATACAAATAGCAACACCCATAGAAATAAATAACAATTCATTAACAATTCAAATAACAACTTAAAATACCTCATAATGTCCTTGACTTTGATTTTGATCATTGTAACTAAGTAACTGGCTTTGATTCTGATTATTGTAACTAAAAAAATCTTCTATCCAATCATCCATGGCGTATAGATTGTGTGATACATATACATAACACACACCCCACATATATATAGAGTCATATGAGTCCAAATTGTATTCTCTGCCGCCCAAATTATCAGTAATTTCATCTCACAAACATCAATATTGACTAATTGTTTAAAAAAAATATGTATTGAAATTATAAACTTAAAAAAATGTATTGAAATTAGTAACTTAAAAAAATGTATTGAACAAAAATTATATATATTGAACAAAAAAAAAATCTATTGAAAATAGAAACTTAAAATAAATATGTATTGAAAATAAAAACTTTAAAAAAATATTACATAAATAATTAGGCATTAAAAAAAAAGAAAAAAAAAAAAGAAAAAAGAAGCAAAACAGTGACGGGTTCATGAGGTTCATCTTTTTTCTTTTTTTTTTTTGTTTAATTTAATGTTTTAATTAATTATGTTTTGAATTAAAATATTATTAATTACACCTCATAAATGAGGTTTGACCAAGGTGGTGCAAATAGCAAAATGAACCCTCATTTGGCTATTTACACCACCTATGTAATTATTAAATGTTTTCACCTTTTTACAATTTCAAGATACTTTATACCCACTTTTAGTCAAAGGATGGTGCAAATAGCAACACCCTATCCAATATAGTCCTTGACTATAGTGATTTTATTTGATTTAATTATAAATGATTTTAGGTGTTGCTATTTGCACCACCCTTTGGTCAAAAGTAGGTATAAAGTATCTTGAAATTGTAAAAAGGTAAAAACTTTCAATAATTACATAGGTGGTGTAAATAGCCAAATGAAGGTTCATTTTGCTATTTGCACAACCTTGGTCAAACCTCATTTATGAGGTGTAATTAATAATTTTTAATTCAAAATTTAATTAAGAGAAAATGACACTTTCCCCCCCTAAGTTATATACTTATAGTACTTTTTACCCCTGAATTATTCATGTTAGCATATTAGCCACCTCAATTATTCTAAAAGTGACGATCCCCCCACCCCCCCCCCTCCCCGATATATTAAATTGACATTTTTACCCTTCAAGTAAACATTTTATTTATTTTTTTTCTCAAACAAATTATTGTGTATACATAGGGATGACCACAGTTCAGTTCTAACTGAACCGGACACTATAGCAATCGAATTAAAAGTTTACTAGAATTGTAAGGAATAATGAGACGATTTTATTTGTTACGAATATACAATTATGCAAATTATTTCTATTCACAGATTATTACATATATAAAATGGATTAATATTTGATGCGCCGCCGGTGTATAGATGCTATACACCGGCGATAAAGGAGAAGATGCCACATCATTACAAATCAAAGTCAATATTAATCGGGTCCTTTTTTGTAAAATATCTAAGAATTTTATTTTATTAGGAAACTCTTTTATTTCTATTTAACAAATTATATCTACTTTCCTTAATATATTTATTACTTAATTATTAGGGAAAATGGCACTTTTTCCCCCTGAGTTATATACTTATAGCACTTTTTTCCCTCCAATTATTTAGGTAAGCACATTAGCCCCTTCAATTATTCTAAAAGTGGTTGTTTTTCCCCCTAATATATTAAATTGACATTTATACCCTTAAAATAAACATTTTATTTATTTTACTTCTCCAACAAATTATTGCGTATACGTAGGGATGACTACGATTCGGTTCGAACTGAATCGGACACTATAGCAATCGAATTAAAAGTTTCCGGTTATGATTCAGATCTAGAACCCAATATTTGGATTTCAATTTATTAAAATTATGAATCAAAAAAATTGGATCCTGAACCGTGAACTGGCGGTTCCGGACCCAATTCGCGATTTTGAACCGTTTTTATTTTAAAATTTTATTTTTATTTTAAAAATAGTATAAATTCAACAATAAATGTATTTTATTTTTTCAGCTCGGAACATGAACCCGTTCCGGGATTTTAATAAACTCTAAATATCGAGTTCCGATTCTAAATTGTAATTGGAATATTTCGGTTTGGTTGCTATAGTGTTTATTTGGTTTGAACCAAATTATGGTCATAATTTGTTGGAGAAGAAAAATAAATAAAATATTTATTTTAAAATATGTCCATTTAACATTTTAGGGGAAAAACAGCCACTTAAATAATTGAGGGGGGAAAAGTGCTATAAGTATATAACTCAGGGGGAAAAAGTGTCATTTTCCCTTATTATTATATACCTAATTTTCTACACATTTTTAATTATTAGATACATTATTAGTGATTAACCATATGCACGGCTGATAATTGGAAATAATTAGATGTTCTAATTATCATATTTGCACGGGTTGTTAAATTATTATTATGTTCAAATATGATTATTATGATTTAATTTAATTATACTAATTTAAACAAACATGATAATTAGAACATCCCGCATAGGCAGCTCAACTGGTCACAGAGGTAAAACTTTAGAAGAAAGACCAGGGATTGTGTCTCACCAGTGGTAGTGTGGGAGCAACTTCTGGTTCGCTTCGAACAATTTTTTATTTTATTGCCAATTCAAAATTTATTTATTTATTTATTATAAATTCTATTTCTTATTTTTAAAATAATATAAATTCAATAATTATTTTATTTCATTTTTCGGTTCTTAATCGTAAGTATAAGAAAATAAAGTTGCGTTGTGCCTTCACAATTAGTTATATTTGTTCTATATTTTATTAAACATTTTTAACCCTAAGAATCTAAGCTCCACTCCCAAGGTTTGGACCTATGACCATTTATTTGAAATGTCATCATATTACATGATAGTTGGCTTAATCATATTATATATAATATAATAATCATATAAAAACAAATTGCTGTTAAATCAAAGTAATTGTAGATTACTAGTATATATGTCCTCTAATGAAGGTGTGCATTCCTCAAAAAGAGAGAAATCAAATATAATCTTAGATATAAAATCACACTCCAAAATGTCATTGGAACGTAATGGATTGTCAACTTCAATATGACTACGAAAGCCTAAGAAATCAATAATGTTTCCTCCTTTTTAACTGGAATGAAGTTCGAAAGAGTAATATATAACACATGTGGTTGCAAATTAAAACAAACTCCCTTTGTCTTTGCTTACGATTCAGAACCGAAAAAATAAAATACAATAAAATAATTATTAAATTTATTTTTTTTTTTAAAAATAAGAAATAAAATTTATAATAAATAAATAAATAAATTTTGAACTGGCAATAAAAAAAAAAATTGTTTGAACTGAACCGTGACCATCCGTACATATAAACAATAATTTGTTGGAGAAGAAAAATAAATGAAATATTTAGTTTTAAGGGTAAAAATGTCTATCAAACATAAAAGGAAGAAAACATGCCACTTTTAATATAACTAGGAGGCAAATGTGGATACATGAATAACTAAGAGGGAAAAAGTGTTAAAAACATATACCTAAGGGGAAAAAGTGTTATTTATAATAAATATTTGTTAAAAAAAATAATGTTTGACTAAAATTAATGAAGGTGGTGCAAATAGCAATTTTTTATTTACACCACCTAAAAGTTATCACATCTATTAAATAGGTGGTGTAAATAGCAATTAGGGTGGTGCAAATAGAATTCCCCATTGAATATTAACTCCTCACGTAACATTACACTATGCTAGTCATTGGCTCATTGCCGCATTAACTCTCCTATCCATGTCATCATTGCCCATCATACATCTTGAATAAAGTAATATTACATATAATATGAGTTAATGCCATCTGAGTTTTGTCACATTTAATCCTAAACTTTCAAATTAATCACTCGTGATCCTTCGACATTTAAATTGTTACCATTTGCAATTTTTTTAGTGGTTAACTTGAACTATATATGATAACAAATTGAAAGTCAAAGACCACGAGAGATTAATTTAAAAGTTTATGACTAAATGTGACAAAACCACTATACTTTCGAGAGTCTCATATGGCATTAACTCCATATAATATATTTTTCACTATATTTTCTATTTTCATTTTTTTCTTTTAATAAAATAAAAACATGTGACTTAAATTTTTGTTTTTTTTTTATTTCTAAATAAACTTATAATTCTACTATGAGATAATATAAATTCAAAATATTGTTATTAAATTAGGCAAAATAAAAAAAATCAATATTAATAAAAATGACATATTAAAAATTTAATATTGTAACAAAATGACTAAAATTAGTATTTAATCCGTAACGGAAAAATCAAATCTTATTAACAATCGTTTAAATTTCATTATTTATGAGTTGAAAAAAAAATGTTCAATAAATTTTACGAACATGCATCTGAATAGTGGATAGTGGATACACAACAGTGGTCAGTGGAACTCGCGGCATAATGGAAATTCATAGGATCCAAAGGAGAAATCTTAGAAAATGATGAAATTAAGGATTCCTGTACAGGAGTGGACAAATCACAATGTTTGGTACATAAGAACATGTAATTAACAAAACACAATAAAAAATACAAACCCATGTGTAGTTTCAGGATGACAATAGAAGTTAAGAGCAGCAAGAAGCAGTAGCAGTTCTTTCAGCTGGTCTATCCATTAGAACCATGCCCGCCGGATTTGCCGCTGGTTGCATGCGAGGCAGTCGCTTGGCTGCATGTATAACACAGTCAGTTTGGCAGTTATAGCGATTACATCCAAACAAAATAATATCGAAGGCAAAGATCATAGCAGATGATCACCTACAACTGCAATCTAAATCTATAACGAGAACCATTTAGAAACCAACTCATAAATTTTATTGTATTAGGTCAATGCCAAACCACACAAAAAGACTGAATTCAATCAATTAGCTAGTATAGGATTGGACCTCTCCCGGGAAAAAAGCTTGGACGCCACCACCACGGGTGACATACCATGTTATAATCTAAAGATTGGGCCAAGGTCACTCAATTGGATTATAATGCACATGGGCCAAACCACACTAAAAGATTGAATTCAATCAATTAGCTAGTATAACCAATGGCCATATAAACCTATATATTCTCTCATATATTTTCAATGTGGACTCTTAACAAAGACAAATAGATTCTTGAGCAGTTATCTAACTGAACAAATACACACACTTAAGTAATGCAGTTCAAAATACATGCAGAAGTGCAGAACACATGAGATTGAGCAAACAGAGCCAGATTTACATGGGGCCCGATCACAAAAAAAACATATGCATTGTAGAGCCATTTAAAGCAAAAATCATTATAACAATTTGCCAGCCACAACACATAATGATTTCTACATTTTAGGGGTGATAGCATATCTGAGACATTCAATTGAACAATTATTATTATAGTCTCCAACTTAAAGAACGGCAAATCAGCCCACTCGATATTGATGTAAGCACATGACAACTATTAAAAAATAGTTTTTCATACAACTGCCAATAATTGTGACCCTAATATCAGACTCCATATGTGCAAAATGGGAAGCTTCAAAAACATCGGTTTTGCAGCTGTAATAAAAGAAGAACGTAGAAAGTAGTATCTTAAGTGACCATGCTAAGTGGTGTGACCTTGGCCTGGGTGAGTGTTAAGGAAAAAGCAGTTGCACCTTGAAAGTAAAGTCCTTGAATAAAAACTTACCTATTTCATAGAAAATACTATTTACATTGGTTGCAGATTTTGCAGAGGTTTCCATAAGGAAAAGGCCATTTTGCTCTGCATATTTTTGTGCTTCCTGCAACAAAAGTAACAAAAATTTCAGTAACAATAATTCTCAGAGCTTAAAATGTGTAGTCCAAATTACTTTTCCTGTTAGTATTGTAACATAATCAGAACCCTGTTTCAAGCTGTGCATATCTTATCAACAAAAGTCAATCATGTGTGTAGCAATCACTCTATTTTCCCTAGAATATGATCTTTCTAATTTGGAAGAAATAGAATTATAATTGGAAGGGAAAAGGGGACAGAAAAACGAAAAGAACAAAAGAGTTGGCTAAATACTTGGTTATTTATAGAGTCAATTGTTTGAAACAAGAACCAAAGAAACGATTGTCAGCTCTGTTCCATGATCAATTGCACCATCAAATACTTAGAACATGCTTTTGTTGGCAGCATTTCAAACCCAGAGAATCGAATTAAATGTACTTGCCTCTGTTTCCACCTTCCTTGCATCTACCAAGTCAGATTTATTTCCAGCAAGCGCCATAACCATGTTTGAGTTACCTAGCCACAACAGCATGGAGGACAGAAGTGAAACTAAAACTCATTCACATAGAGAAATCAGAAATTTTCTTTTTTGATTTTTTGTTAGACAACAAGGTGTTCTGAGTAGGCCCTAAATCACAAGAAAAATAGAAAAGCATCAAGCAGAAACAAAAATAAACCGGGAAAAAAAGAAGCAACATGAGCATTAGAAACCTTGTGCCTGAAGTTCCTGAACCCATTTTTTGGCTCTTTGAAAGGATTCCTACAAAGCGAAAATCAAGAATCAAACCTAAATTAATTTCTGCAATACATACAACTTTACACGGTAATAATTACGAAGCTTCCTCTTTACTTACTTGATTAGTTATATCATACACGATTATAGCAGCTGCAGCTCCTCTATAGTACATTGGAGCTAAACTATGGTACCTCTCTTGACCTGCTGTGTCCCATATTTCAAATTTAACAGTAGCATCATTTACTGCCACTGTTTGAGAGAAAAAGGCAGCTCCAATAGTTGATTCCTTCATTAGCAGATAGAAGAAATCAAGTTTAGTCAAATTCAAGAACCAAACCCATCTCTGTAAAAACAAACAAATAAATAAATAAATACCAAATTAACAACTAACCTGGAATTCAACAAACTGTCCTTTAACAAAACGCAAAACTAAACTAGATTTTCCGGCCCCAACATCTCCTAGGAGCACCTGTAGGCAACTCAAACACAGAAGATGTTATTTGCAAACAGAATCTACTAACTAAACATAAAATTTTGCAACCGAAAGTCAAGGATAAGTACAAGTTTCCAAATCACAAGATGCGGTTAACCATTTAAGCATAGAATTTCTCGAAAATTGAGAAGAGTTAGAGCAACCCAGATGAGAAATCGCATAATGAAGCGCCTCCGCCCGCCGACACACGCACACAAGAAAAGAAAAATTAAATATTTACGGACCAGCTTGGCGTTCATATTTTTGTTTCCGCTTGTGGCCATGGCGTTGATCGATTCAATTCCGATGCGAATTCAGTATTTGTGCTTTGGATCAAGAAACAATAAAAGGAGAATTATTATAGTTAGAAAACGAAGGGTTTTGTATTCAGGATCGAATATTGACGAGGAAGAAGGATTAGGTGAATTGAACCAGACAAACCCCACTCATACGATAGTTCAACGTTGACGCAGTAAACCGGTCGTTTCATTGTTCTCTCGAACTTTCCGTTTACAATTTTATCCAACCTTCTAAAAATTTGGAAAATGTTATTAACTAATGTTAACTAAAATTATACATGTGCGATGCACGGATATGAGTTATGTTAAGTAATGTTACAAAGAGTTAATGAACGATTTGGTCCCTCAACTATTAGTGAATTGTCAATGTAGTCCCTCAATTGCTTATTCATCGATTTGGTCCGCGAAAACAATTATTTTTAGTCGATTTAGTCACTCAGGTCGTCTTCCGTCGACGGCCAGAGGGACTAAATCGACTAAAAATAATTGTTTTTGGGGACTAAATCGAGGGTCGGAGGGACTAAATTGACTAAAAATAATTGTTTTTGGGGACCAAATCGATGAATAAGCAATTGAGGGACTACATTGACAGTTCGCTAATAATTAAGGGGCCAAATTGTTGATTAACTCTTACTTAAATATTAACATATATATATAATAAATTGTAAATAACAACATATTTAATAATAAAATAAAAACAATATATTGATATTTTCAATGACTTCATATTGGGATAAACGTACATACTTTTATTTGTAAACTGTATTTGTTTAATTATTGTAAACTAATTGAAGAGTTATTTTATTTACATTAGAATGTTTGAGCATTTATATCTAACATATTGAAATTAAATCATCACAATGTAAAAAATCAAATCAATCAATTTAACTAAAAAAAAACAGGTTTGGGCATTTATATCTCTAACATATTGAAATTAAACCATCACAATACAAAAAATCAAATCAATCAATTTAACTAAGGAAAATACTTGGTGTACTCCCATTTTAAACTCCCAACTTGTACTCCCTCTCACATTCTTTTGATGTAGACACTTTTCGGTGGATCCACATGATGAGGGAGTAGAATTTTGGGAGTCTATATAGCAGAACTCTTTAACTAAAAAAAACACTCACATATATTACATTGTAGTATCTGTTCAAACATATTTTCTTAACTTAAGAGTCAACAATGCCTCTACTTAGATTCAATCTCATGACCTCCCACATGGGAGAGGTCACTACATGCTATCTAAGCACAAGGTGCTTGGCCTCACCAATGTTACTTAAATATTAACATATATAATAAATTGTAAATATTAACATACTTAATAATAAAATTAAAACAATATACTAATGTTTATATTTATAATTTATTTATTTATTCATCTATGTATTTATATTCTATATTTAATTACATATATTAAAAAATAAGATGACTCTTTCGAAAGCAAAAAGATGTTGCAGCTCGTAATTGGTGTAAATTATGATTTATTTGCATCCTTAAGATTGCAAAGCTTCGAAACAAATTTGTCTAGAACTTTGTTATAGAGAGACATAGAGAGGATATAGTGGTTTCAGTGTGAGGACTATGGAGACAATCTAAAGAAGTCAAAGCAATCCCGAGACTTCATGGTGTGCTCTGCATTCAATGTCCCTCTCATTTTTCATTTGCAGGTTTTGTTGTTCACCTGTAAACATAAATGATTTTTTACATGAAAACTGTTTCCACTTTACACTGACTAAGATGTTTTCACTTATCACTGTCTAACGGTCTAAGAGTTTTTTCCCTAATATCTAGGGATGGCAACGGGGCGGGGCGGGGCGGGGAGTATACTCCCCGTCCCCGCTACCACGACCTCGTCCCCGTCCCCGTCCCCGCGGGGAATTTGGCGGGGACGGGGAATCCCTATCCCGCGGGGTACGTTATGGGTGCTCAGCGGCCCCACCCACGGGGTACGTTATGGGTGTTGGCCGGGGATTTGTTCCTCGTGATTCTTTATTCTCGGTATTGATTTTTTGACCCCCCGTTGTTATTTTAATGGGCTATTTGTGAGTCTTCTTGATGTTTCGGGTATGTCTAGACCGGTGTGTTAGGAATCCATGATAGGATTTGGTGTCTTGAATCGTGCTAAGGGTCCAACTTTGTGATTCGTTGGGCTAATGTGAGTCTTGAATGTTCTTTGGAACTACTTTTGGTTTACCCGTTTGATAAGCATGCTAGTTTGATGTTGAAATGTTAGTATGTGTGGTTTGTTCCTTCTTATTGGGATTGGCAACTTGTGTTGACAATCATTTGGCGTTGGATTGAAATCCTTTGTTGTTGGGTATGATCTCATGTCTTTATTGTGATCTCTTGATTGCTTCCTATGATGTGAACGTATGTAAATCGTTGTACCCTTGTTGATAGTTGATTGAGGTTATTTTTGAGCCTTAGTCTTCTTGGTAATGATGATGACCTTGTGTGACTATGATTGAGATTGGTGGCTTGTTACTTGAGCTTTGCTCACGAGTTGGCGGTTGTGTGAATGAAATTAATGGTACCCTCGTGTACTGAGAGATCGGTGGTAATATGGGTTTGTTGGAGGGGGGACGACGGTCCCCGGAGGCAAAAGGTTGGACTCAGAAGTACAGGGTAGCACTAGGAGATAATGGTTGGAACCGAAATAAGGCCGGGGGTAGCCATAAGGTTGGAACAGGGCATAAGGTTGGAACTGTGAAACTTGTGACATGTAGTTGTCACCGTGTGAATGTGAACTCCTTGCTTATGAGCATGTCTTGATGTATTCTACTTTGTGATCAGTAGAATGCATCCTGAGTTGTGTTGTCTTTCATGTTTCTAGTCTTGTTGTTGTTGTGAGGATGGTGATCATAGTTCCTTTTGAGAGTGATTGATGAGTCTTTGGTGTTGACTTCTCTCTTTGGTTTTAAAATGATATATATTGTATCCCCGTTCCAAATGGTTTTGTTTATATCTATCTATATATGATATTTAACGCGTATTGATGGGTTACCAGCAATATTCGTTGACCGGGTGTTATCCCTTGATTTTACAGGTTTTGAGTAGATGCCGAGTGCGCTAGATGTGGACTTAAATAGAATAGATCCCTTGCTAGACGGTTATCCTTGTTGGCCTGTGCGCCTTAGTACTGTTATGTTTTGTTAGATTGTTGTTGACTAGCCTGTGCACCCATGGTTTATGGGTGTGGCATAATGCTTACTGATTTTATATAGCTTCCGTTTGCTTTATGTCTTGATGATTAGATGTTTAACTTTGAATTTAAGTTTTAAAAATGTGGTAAAAATCGGGGGTGTTACACAGAACCCGCCACTAAGAAGTTTTTTGAGATATAAGTCATCATAACATCGTCATTACCTGTCGCACCACCTCCCTCACCAACCCGCCCCTCACACCCAAACTGCCTTCCCCAACCCCTCTCACGACCACCTCCTCCCTCACTCCCCCTACCGGCACAAGCCACGAATGGCCAACCGGTCTCGGTCGACGCGGTAAACCCGCCTTCATATCGGCCCCGAACGGATACTGATCAACAGCCAAAGTTGAGTTTCTAGCTTGTAAACAGAACTTGTACGAGTGCCCCAACAAACCACAGAAGAAACATAATGTATGCAATCTCTCGTATTTAATACTCACCCAACACCAAGACCCATCACGTTTAATTAGCTAACCTCATACGTCGCTGTAATGGCTTTGCTACCAGGATACTCACACGAATCCGGTAGAAAGCCTTCTAAGGTCTATCATCGAACCACTCATCCCCCTTCACAAACGTGCCCAGGAAATTCCCCACCTGCTCCAAAATAATGGTCGACGTATAACCCATAGGGAGGTTATACACCTGAACCCACATGTCAACACTATCCAACACCACATCCAGGGGCAACACCCCCTCCGCCACTGGCCTACACACCAACGTATGATTGTCAAACGACCAAGGGCCTTCATCAATAACATGCTGCAGATCCGTTTGATGAAAGAACACGAACATGAAGAGGTTCGGCTTTAGCTCCGATACCTGCACCCAACTCACAGGTTGCTAGGCTGATGCAAGTACCTGCTGCATGAACTCCACCTTCACCAATCGTCGCGTCAGAAACCTACCAATCAAGACCTAGGTTTTGCGACCTCCTCGTGCCTCTCCGACATGCACGTCACCAACCGGGACCAGTACTGCCTCATCGTCATGCAACGAGATACCAGCGTATCCTTCTACCAACTCGTCATCCAGCACATCTGTCGCACGCCGCTGCATCCAAACCGAAGGACTGCACAGGCGCACCGGAGATTAAACGGAAAAGCTTGGCAAAACCCTAGAGAGACAAAGAGAGAACTCCAGAAACCCTAGAGAGAAAATGCATTTAGTTTCATTGGCTTAACTAAATGTGTTAGTGCAATATATTGCATTAAAGACTTCTTCCTTATAATCTCTTTCGTATAGTAATACAAACAGTTTCCAATGTTATCCCTCATCTTTTAAGTTTTTCTTTAACACTATTAAATCTCACTGTTAAGTCATAATTAATTGGAATTAAAACTATGTTAATGTAATTGACTGCATTGATAACTTATACAGTGAGCTTTCTTAATTGTACATTTACAGAAACTTCATAACTTTACTATTTTCTTCTTAGTTTTGCCTACAACATTTCAATCGTAAATATTTGATAATTTTTTAAAAATCTTTCTATGCGTTTTGTTGAAATTTATTTTATAATTCTACTTTTTAACCACATAATTTTTTATAGCGTTGGTATATATATATTTTTTAGCTCAAATCTTGTGATGGTTAAAAAAAAATTTAATATTTTATTTTTATTTCGTTGAGTTTCAACAAAATGAAGCAATTTAATAGTCAACTACACATAATTATATAGGAAAGATGTGTTTTTAGTTCATCAATTGTTCCTTACTAACTATTTTAGTCCTTGACTTCTTATTTTTAATATTTCCCTAACTCTTCAAAAAAAATTATAGTTTTTGCACATAAAATAATAAAACTAATAAACTCTATTAAAATTTTAGTTAGTACATAGTATTTTAGTACTTTTTAATGTTTCTTTTTAATTATAATTTTCTTTAGTCTCGATATTTCATTTGTAACATAAAAATACATGTTATTAATAGGTTTGTGTAGGGAATATAGGGACAATATACCATAATTGAAGATGACAAATTTAATGAAGAAGGTCATCAAATATATATTTGATGAAATACCAAAACTAAAAAGTCATAAATAATAAACATAATAAAATTATAAAATTATAAAATATGCATGTACTAAGTAAAATTTTAATAGAGTTTAATAGTTATGTTTTCCCATCATTGGGCTATTTTTTAAAAAATGGTCTAAAAGATTCTGAATATGAATTGATCTTTGAGTGACTAATGACTCATGACTTGTGAATGAAGTCTGCAACTTCTATTTTTAATGCTATGTACTATGCAAAAATGTTATGTGCTTAACAGCTAAAAGTGAGTCAGACCATGTTGGTTTGCCTGAAGCAAACAAATTGCTAATATTTGATAATATTTTGTTAGGAATATATTGTATAAGTTTTGATGAGCCAAATGTATTTTTGTAGTCCCCAATTTTATTTTATTTGAGTCAGTTCTGGTTCACAAAGTATGGTGCACCCTTGCCATGAAGCCTACGTGAACACCTTATTGGTGGAGGAATAAATGTAAGCGGGATCATAGCTTAACACATTTATGAAGCGTTGGAGTCATCAAAGGTTGAGATGGAAAGAGACTTGTTGAGGTATATTTAATATACTTGATACTTGATGATCTATGGTTCAGTTCCTATTAAGAGCATTTTTGTCTAAAAGATTAGACAAGCTATGGTTATACAGGAAGTGATATCAAGCCAAAGTTTTTTAGACATGATATTCCTTTTTAGACGGATGATGACGTCACTACATGATATGTTTCTAGACGGGTTATGGAACCCATGTGAAGAGAAGACACAAAAGGAATTAAAGTTATGATATATATCAAAGGGTTAATTAGCGGAGCTGGAAGAAGACTTGCAAAGCTACCAAATGATACACAATTTGACTCTCACTTGAAGCAATTTTTGATGTTAGACATGATACAAGTTAGATGGGCTAAAGTTTTAGACATGATATACAAAAGCCTGAGACGGGCTATGACATCATTCTTAGACATGCTACAACTTTAGACAGGATGTCTTTTTGGAACCCTCATTTTTGCGAAGGAAGACGAAGGAGTCGAAGAAGCTGATTCACAAAGGAAATCTTTTTAATACACAAGCAAGAATCAACAGATAAATTATTTGATCAACTTGGCATATCAGATCAATAATTCAACAAAAGTCAAGCCTGAGATTAACTCAAATTTGGAGGTTACACATTCCAAGAAAAGTTTTTGTCAGATCAATGAAGAACAACGACAAGATTATTCAAATCTTCTGACAGACGGCAAATGACTTTTGCAGATCAAGTTGACACAATTATTTGATCAACTACAATTCAAAATGGACGATCGAGATCGAAAGTTGATCAACGGACAAATAGCTTTCATTTGCTATAAATTGTCCAAGCAGACTTGAAGACAAGTACGGTGAAAAGGGTGAACCACGGCTAACAACAAGAGATTTACAAAGAGAAAAGCAAGAAATATTTTTAGCCAGTAAAGGGGGAATTAGATCTTCATTAGAAAAATTCAAATCTGAGAGAGAAATCATTGTATTTCATTGTAAACACTTCTACTGAGTGTAGAAAAGGGGTCGAGTAACTAGAGAGAGTGAAAAACCCGGTTTGAGTGTAGCTTTGTGCGTAGCACTCGGTTGTAAAGGGAAGAGTAACAAGAAAAGCTTGTGAAAACCCTGTGAGATCGTAGCTTTGTGTGTAGTTCTCGTGGTGTAGGAGTAGAGCTTGGTGCGAAGTACTCGGGAATGTGGAGTAACAAGAGGAGCTTGCGAAAAACCTTGGTGGAGTGTAGCTTTGTGCGAAGCACTCGGAGAAGTGTCGGTGGACACTTATTCACTATTGTATCTGGGTGATCGAAGAATAGTGAATTTCCTCCTTGAAGTGAAAGGAGAAGAGTGGAGTAGGAGAATTACACCATCTTCGAACTACTATAAATCTCTCTCTCTCTTTACTTACTGCTCATTATATTTCGTGCATGCGTTTATCAACTGTGAACTAACCCGTTACGATTTATCGCATATCTTTATCAGTCTGGATTTGATAGTTCCCACGTTTGCATGCAAGTGAAATTTTACATACATCATCTTTAATCTATATCAAGTGTTTCTAACGTGTTGCATGTATAGAATCTCTCTTTGAGCACTGCACAATCAAGCATAACACTTTACCGTTACATATTCCGCTGTGCACACTCTAAGTTGTTTAACTTCACTAGTACAAAACAGCTCATTAGCGTTTGTTGTAAGAAGCAGTAGGCATCTATTGTACGCTAGACGCCTATGAACCAGACGCTAATAGTCTATATTTTTGGCGTCTGTCGTTCTTAGGCGTCGGTTCTTTATATATAACCGACGCCTGTAGTAGGCTTTTTTCTTTAAAAAAAGACAATAGGCGTCGCGTTCTCAAAAAGAACCGATGCCTATTGTCCTTTTTTAAAAAAATAAATTTCTTCACTGTATTTTTCAGCGATATTATTCAACAATCAACATAATCAAATTAAATCATCCCAAATAATCGTCCAATCCTACAATAATATTCACAATATAACGCAATCCACAACATAATCTAAATTACAACACAATCCACAAAATACATATTAGATGATCAAAATATTCGATCAACAAACTTGTCTGAAGTTACTCAGATACAATTCTTTAACAAATCATAAACATAAGTTAACAATATTAAAAATAATGTTTAAACCAAATAAAATTACACGCACTCATTTACAAAATATTGTGGCCACGACAAGATAATACTAATACTATTTTCTTTCAGATTATCTCCCTCTTTTCTCTTTGTAAATAGCACAGAGAGGAGTACATTTTAAATGAGCTACCATTTACTGTATGCAAAACAAATTAATACAGTCCAGCTCTTTCATTTCCAAGTTAGATGAAAGATCCACTGAAATACGCAAAAGTAAAGAAAAGGTAAAGTTACAATTAACTTAAATATGTGATGATATTCAAACCTTTGAACTCTGAGCCTTTCCACCACTTGTCTCACTTTGGGAAGAATCACTGGGAAATGCAGCCCCATCATTTGCATTTAGAATTACACAATAGCAGTGGTCCACATTTGTCAAAACCTGGAAAAGATGTTATTTGGAGGCTTCTAGCCCTGAAGGCATGCATGATTCATCAAACTTTAAAACATTTGGGACACATAAATATATGCAATTGGGGAAACAGCCTCATCAAAGTGAGTTTGAACAGCATGCTAAAGCTTGAATGCATCTATGAACAGCAACAAGTGTAACAAGTAATTCTACCAAGTACCACCATTTCTGCAACTATGGTTAAGCATTCCTCTTTATCTTATTAAATCTGCCAGAGTCCAAAGCTAGAAAAAAGGAGAAGATAGCATTTCAAAATACTAAAGAAGAGAACCAATGCATTACCACTGCATCAAAAGTAGAATCAAAATCATCAACGACAAAACATATATCTGGATACGCAGGAGTTGTTTCTACTTCCTGCAGTGTACGTGTGAAGTTGTCAAATAAAATTCACTAGAATACATGGAGGGATCCACATTAGCAAAACTTGCCTTTCTTGAGTCCAAATGAAAATTAATACGACTTGGATCATGAAATAGACGGTGTTCAGGTGTATCATAGCGACCGTCACAGAGATCAAGACCACCCAAGAAAGCTGTAATTTTTCGATTATTACCATCACCCTGTGTATCCACAAGCACACACTTCTGGTGGTGTGTGAACATGGTTCCAACAATCTGTGAACAATAGCCAAATTCACAAATCACAAACACATTTCTCAGAATGTCAAGATGGGTAAAAAGGAATCAATCCAACAAAAAAAAATAAAAATAAATAAATAAATAAAAAAATCATAATTCAAGAGCCACTGTGCCAGTACAAGTCAATGTCAAACAATAACTGAACCCCAAGTAGACAATGTATATATCATTACCAAAAAGAAAACTGAGCAAGTGTTTACACAAAGTCAGACCTGAAAAGAGATTACAAGATCTACTAGCACCTCCACGCCATCTACCCTAACTTCTTTACACTAAAAAATAACAGGCCAGGGATAAACATTTGGCTTGACCTATGTGAAGGGATTGGTGCTCCCTAAACAGTGCTATTGTTTTTTCCTCTTTTTTTTTTTTTTTTTTTTTTTTTTTTTTTTTTTTGGGTTTCATGTTACCCACATCAGACAGTGAGGGATTGTTTCCCAGATTTTTCTAACAAAGCACTTCACCCCCACAAGTTCTCCAAATAATTAGGCAATCCTTGATGCATTTTATGGCAAAAAATGGCCAATGAGTTTGAAACAAAAACCATATTTATCCTGCATGTTTGCATTTGATGGAATGATATTGATTCATCCCACTGAAGGGAAGACAAGAGTTCCCATCAAGCAACAAACAGCAACGCCTTTTTTAAAACCCTCATGATTTTTGTTCAACATTGAAAAATTATTCTCGACAAAAACATGCAATGTTAAAGCCAGTAATATGCTCTGAATAGCCAAGACAAAACTGATGGAAGGTATGTGAGCTGTTGAAAGTTGTATAAACAAAGTATTACATACAGATGAAGTAATAGAATATAAGAGAACTCACTTGCTGCTTAATAAAGCTATGCTTACTGCTGGCATAACGAGGTGACAGAACACAAATCACAGATGAGTGTTTAAAAAACTTCTTGGTCTCCTCATTGTGGGTCGCCATTATTCCTGCCTGCATCCAGTGTCATCTTGAATAAATATTATAAACAAAAATTCAAAATAAAAATATTCATCAAAATAAAACTTACAGCATGGATCATCACCATCAACTACACAAACAAACAGTGGTGAAAAATTATCTTACAGAACAGCATAAACCTAGGTTTTTACACATTTTGCACTTTAACAATGTCATCTTCACTTTTCATTTAAATTTTCCTTTCAACTTTACTGTCAATTTGGACTAGAAATTCATTGTATACACACATGCAGGATTGTGTATTGGAGACTATACCATGATGGTTGATAAAATAAATCCCCCAAAAAAAGAAAGAAAGATGGAACCTTATATTGTTTAAAATATAGTCTCTTCATGAACAGCAGGGCTTTAAGTCAAGCAAATTGCTAGTGCAGGGATAGCAACATATAAAGTATAAATAGTTCAATGAATTAACACAATGAACTTTTATTGTTATTTTATTCTGTAAAATTTTAATCTCAAGCCTCTTCTCTATGAATAATCATGTACACAATGAACTTTTTACACTTTTCCTCTAAGAATCACATATGCAACAAACTTTGGACTTGGACTTCTTCACTACAGACACAACAAACTTTAGATTTTGACTTCATAGTCCGTCACGAACACTTGAATATACAAATGACCCCTTTGGGTCGACTAATAGATGCTTGGTTACAAACACTTGAATGCTATGCATGAAGGTTTAGATCAAGGCTCGATGCTCAATTATAATTTGATGCTTCATCATGAACAAAGGTGAGCAAATGCTAATAGAGGCTTGGACTTGATGACTTAAAGAACCAATTAATTGATAGTCTTCTCAGAACTTGATACCTACTTTATTCTCAAAAACTAGGGGATATAAAAACATTGCAACAAGTAACACAACATATTTTAGAGATGGTTAACTGAAGGCAATTAAACCATCAAAAGAGATTAAGACTTATATCATTGAACAGTTTTTGTAATACAGAGTAAAACACAAAACCAAACTCATACCTTGTTAATGAAGAACTTGTCGTGAGAGGTCTTGTCATCCCAAACTAATAACAGAACCCGAACACCTTCCTGGGATTTGTACTTGAGCAATTCACCGAGAGTCAAGTCCCCGACGGCTGGCAAGTCTCTTGTAGGCTCTCTTATCAATTTAATCTTCTGCTAAACAGACCATCCGACAATGTATATCAAATGACTATTCCAAATATATAATAACTACTGTAGAATTAGGGTAGAGAGAGGAAGGCAGACCTTGGGCGAGGGACGAAGACAAAGAGGAAGAGAGAGGAAGGCAGAACTTGGGCGAGGGACAGAGACAAAGAGGAAGGACCTTTAGTGACAGACACAAGGGAAGTAGAAATTCCGGCGACGGCTTCAAAATACATCATCTCGCCGCCGCTATTCTCGTCAGATGCTGCTGCTGCTCAAGCCGCCGTCGTCGACAAAAGGGAGAGGAGTCAGCCGCCGTGACCAGGCGCGCCGTAGACTAGGGAGGCGAGGCGAAGAAGGCGTAATCTGAATGAGAAATAGACTAGGGTTTTTTCTTTTATTTCGTAGCACAAAGGCCACCGTTCATTTTAAAACAGTGACCAAAAGTGCCCGATTTTTTCAGACTACACTTTTAGCAACTGTTATGTTATTACAACAGTTTTTAAATGTTGTTTATAAATTTTAAAAATGCCACAATGCATGCTTTAGAACTTCCTTTTTTAAGAACAGATGCTAATGGTCTACTTTTTTTGGTCAAATTTGTACTAGTGCTTGTTTATGCTTGTTATTTAGAGTTGAAATTACCAAAGTGTTGTGTGCTTAAGAAAATTTTGAAAAGTTAGAGAAGTCTATTCACCCCCCCCCCTCTAGACTTCTCGCCACCCATTCGGGACCAACAAGTGGTATCAGAGCGGTTGTCTATTTGAGTCATTTCTTGACTGCTAGGCAGATCTCCAAACTTCAAAATGCAGAGAGATATGGTTCTTGCTCAAAATTTGCTTTTCTCACTTGATAAATTTGATGATTGGAAAATACGTATGCATGTGCACTTATCCGCTTTAAATGATGAAATGTGGGAGGTCATCACAAATGGTCCTATTTCGATCATGCACGCAAATACCACTACTGCACGAGATCCAACGGCTCCACAATATGTTCCAAAGCAAAAAATGGAGTGGACTAGTGAAGATAGAGGGCGAAATAACTTGGACAATATTGCCAAGGATATTTTGTTCAAAGCGGTTGATGACACCATATTCCCAAAGATTTGAAAGTGCACCACGGCAAAAGAAATATGGGATACTCTCATTAGTATCGGTGAAGGCGACGAACAAGAAAAGGACAACAAGCTAACCATCGCCATGAAAAGATTTGAAGATTTCAAAATGCTTTCTAACGAAAGTATTACCGATATGGAAGCTCACTTAGTCAAAATTCTTGGTGAAATAAGTGATCTTCGCAAAACCATTTCCCAGAAGGAAATATCACTCAAAGTATTGCGTGGACTACCTTCTAATTGGGACATGAAAGTAACCGCAATGCGAGACCATAGAGATCTAAGGACATTATCTACGGATAAACTATTTAGTGATCTTAAGGCGTATGAGTTCGAGATGAAGACACGAATTGAAGAAGAACGCGATGAACGAACATCCGCACTAATGGCAGATCAACCGTCTACATCAAGGTCAGTAGGAAATAATGATTTTTTATCGGACAAACAATTTTCCTTATTTGTTAGGAAATTCAAGAAGTTCACGCGAAAGAACAAATTCAAGAGTTCACCACAAGGAAGCTCGTTTAGAAGACCAAGGAAAGAATCAGTCGAAGATAACATAAATGTGTGTTATAATTGTAGAAAGCTTGGACACTTTATGGCCGAATGTCCACACCCCAAGGTAAGCAAAAATTCAAATGCTTCTAACCCTTCGCAGGAAGAATACAAGTCCAAGGAAAAGAGATTCAAGAAGAATAAACAAAAGGCTTTGATAAGTGATCCGCTAGAGGCAAGCGAATCCGAAGAATCATCCAGTGATGAGAGCGATTCATCACAAGAAGACACGGGCATTGCTATGTTTAGTAAGTCAAACATACGAGCATGAAGAATGCCTAATGGCGCACGAAAATGAAGAAGAGGTATCTTCTAGTTCCTTTAGTTCCTTTAGTTCAGTTGACACTTCTTTCAAGACTTAAGAATCATTTCTAAGTCTTATGGAAGATTGTCAAAAGGTCATGGCCACTCATACTCAAATCAAAGAGCGCAATAATACGTTAATCCTTGAAAAGGATGAAATAGCACGTAAATTGAAAAATGTTCTAAATGAAATGAGTAATTTGAAAGCCGAAAATGTTCGACTTCAAGAAGAGTGCAAAGCAAGAGAGGTTCGAGAACATAACCTTCGGGAAGTAATCGCATCATTTACGAATTCATCCAAAATAATGGATAAAATGGTAAACATGCAAAAACCCGCTGGAGATAAAGCCGGACTAGGCTACGATCCATCATGTTCAAAACCCCTCAAAAAACTGACTAATTCTACTACTACTTTAATTAATAAAGTTCCAGTGGTAAAATTTGTGAAAAGTCAGTATAGCACAATGAGACAAGGAGTTGGAAACAAAATTAATGCCAATAAAAATGTTGCAAGGCCGAATCAACACAATGATATCTCGGCAAGACAACGAAATTCTAAAAGGCAAAAATTTGTATCTCAAAGGAGAACCAACAAGTCAAGTGCAATAAAACCTCATAGGAATATGGGAAGAATTCCGAGAATTGGGGCTGGGAGATTATATCCCTCAGAAGAAGATTGGTTGCTTGAAGACAAACCACGGACCAAGTCCAGATTTGCTCTATTTCATAGAATCAAGCAACTATTAGCTTCCCAACCCGCACCAAAGCATTATTCGCAAGTGCGTTATGATTATAAAGTTTTAAATGGTTACAAATCACCTACTCTTGGATTAGTGGGATCTAGGTGGATTTGGATGCCAAAAATTACTAACGCAAAAGGACCCAAACAAATATGGGTACCTAAAAATAATTAATTTTATTGCAGGAAACTTGGTATTTCGATAACGGATGCTCTCGACACATGACCGACAATAAAGCTAGTCTAGTGGAGTTCCAAAGTATCGAATGACCAAAAGTAGTTTTTGGAGGAAACGATCGATACGGAACAACAAAAGGCACCCGAACAATTGTGAAGAATGGCTTACGAATTGAAGATGTATCATTTGTCGAAGGATTAAAGTTCAATTTGTTTAGCACAAGTCAATTTTGCGACAAAGGCTATCTCGTAGAATTTTCAAAGATAAATGTCAAGTCAAAGACGAATCTACGAAGGAAGTCGTACTAGCCGGATCGAGAAAGAAAAATATGTATGTTGTTGATTGGAGTACAACGAAGGACTCTGTATGTTTGATGGCAAGCAACTCAAATGAAGCAAGTTGGGAAAGGCACAGAAGGCTAAATCATCTAAACTTCAAAACCATCAGTAAGCTCGCACGAAACAAGCTAGTTGATGGACTACCCAACATTGTATTCAAAAAGGATCAAATTTGCGATGCACGCCAGAAGGGAAAACAAATCAATGCATCATTCAAATCCAAAGCTCAAGAGTCAACATCAAGACCTCTAAGTCTACTACACATGGATTTATTTGGTCCAGTAGACCCAGTAAGTATAAGTGGTAAGAAATATACTTTGGTTGTTGTTGATGATTTTTCCAGGTACACATGGACGTTATTCATGAAGAAAAAGAGCGAAGTTGAATCAAAGTTGTCGGAACTACTAAAGCAATTACAAGTCGAAAAAGACATGAAGGTTACAACTATTCGAACCGATCGAGGAGCCAAATTCGTGAATGGCGTGATTCAATCCTATTGCAATTCACAAGGGATTCTACACCAACTATCTGCCGCACGAACGCCGCAACAAAATTGCGTAGCTGAAAGAAGAAACAGGACACTAAAAGAAGCTGCACGAGTCATGATATAGCCGCCGAACTACCAAAGAGATTTTGGGCAGAAGCTATCAATACGGCGTGCTATACTCAAAATCGCAGTCTAATCCACAAGTCACATAACAAAACATCATGCGAATTATGGAAAGGGAGGAAACCCAACCTCACTTATTTTCATACATTTGGGTGTAAATGTTTTGTACTTGTTAATGGAAAGTCTCATTTAAAGATTTTTGACGAGTGTGCGAACGAAGGAATATTCTTAGGATATTCATCTTCTAGCAAGGCGTACAGAATATTCAATAAATCAACAATGGTGGTAGAAGAATCAATTCATGTTGTGTTCGACGAAAACAACGACAAAGAAATCAAAGATAAGGGAGGTAACTCTAATTTAAATAATTCTAACAAAATCTTTGAGGAAAATGTGTTGCAGGATATAGAAGAAACAAGTGACATGAGTACTCATCAATTTGAATCAACACCCAACGTGACACGTGAAGTACCAACTGTGACCGTACCCGAAATTGCACCCGAAATCCCAATGGAAGAAATCCCAGTAGATGAACCCGAAGAAATACCCGTCAACAATTCGCAACAAGAGGAAATCCAACAAATGATGTTTCAACAACAAGGAAACTCTGAGAATCCAATGAGTTTTCAACCAAATCGAAAATGGCTAAGAAGTCACCCACATGACTTAGTCATTGGAAATCCAAGAGACGGAGTAAGAACACGATCATCTACAAGGGACTAATAAGATGTATCAACAAGGGATGCAATGTTCTCATGTTTTCTATCACAACTTGAACCAAAAGAAATTGATGAAGCTCTAGCCGATCCAAGTTGGATAGATGCAATGCAAGAAGAATTGGATCAATTCAAGCGCAACGATGTATGGGAACTTGTTCCAAGACCAACGCACCAAAATGTAATCGACACCAAATGGGTCTTTAGGAACAAAGCAAACGAAGACGGCGTCATTGTTAGGAATAAAGCAAGATTAGTCGCTAAGGGGTACTCGCAAGAAGAAGGAATAGATTTTGATGAGACATTCGCCCCCGTCGCACGACTCGAAGCAATTAGAATATTCCTAGCATATGCAGCCTACAAGAACTTCACAGTGTATCAAATGGACGTAAAAAGCGCATTTTTAAATGGCTTACTTGAAGAAGAAGTTTACGTCGAGTAACCACCCAGATTTGAGGTAAAAGGCACTGGTGATCAAGTCT